ATAATTCATCCTTAAAATTTTTTAAAAATTTGACAAAAAAATTGTTGCCCGGATACTTTTGGCAGGTTGGTGTATAACATATTATCGTAAATATGGTCCTCGTGAAAAATTTACTGTAGCAGAAAAGGAAAAAAATTCTATTATGGATTTTTTAGGTTCCTTAATTCTAACAAAAACAAAAATAATGATGATAATGAGAATAATAACAAAAATGATGAAGAAAATAACAATGATAATGACAAAGATAAGAATAACGGTGAAGATGATTATAATGATGAAGATGGATATAATGACAAAGGTGAGGATAAGAAAGAAGATGAAGATAATGATAAAAATAAGAATAATGATGAAGAGAAAAATAATAAGAATATTTTTTTTATTAGAATGTATAGTGGATATAATGAAAATGATAAAGTCAATGAGTATAATGAAACAAGTAAAATGACAGGTAGACATAACGAAATAATAGATAGATATGAAGAAATAAATAGTGGAATAGATAGATATGATAAAATGAATAGTGGAATGAGTAGATATGACGAAATAATAAATAGATAGTATAACGGGTAGATATGATGAAATAAATAGTGAAATGAATAATAATGATGAAATGAATAGTAAAATGAATAAAATCAGTGAAATAGGTAGATATAATAAAATAGATAATGAAACAAATAGACAAAAAATAAATAAATTTAGTAATGTGAGTGCTACAACAAAGTAGATGAATTTAATAATTGGAGTGATAGCAAAGTATATGAATTTAATAATTGGAATGGTAGTGAAATATATGAATTTAATAATGGGGTGGTGGTGAAACAAATAAATTTAATAATAGGAATGATTGAAAAATAAATAAATTTAATAATAGAAGTGATAGTGAAATAGATGAATTTAATAATGGAGGTGAGAGCGAAATAGATGAATTTAATAATGAAGTAAGGTGAAACAAATAAAATTAACAATAAAGGTGAAGGTAAAACAGATAAATTTAGAGGTGAAACAGATGAATTAATAATGAAAGTGAAGGCAAAACAGATGATAAAATTAATGAAAAAGCATATAGAAAATATAGTAATGATTTTTTTGATTATTTTGATCTAATTGATATAGATGACTTAAATCAAGTTGATGAAATAATTAATAAAGCTTCTGATGAAATAATTGAAGCTTCTGATGAAATAATTGATAAAACATTTGATGAGATTGTTGATGTTAATAAAACAGTAGGGTAAAAATGGGTGTTCTGGTCCAACACTAGTCAATTTGCTATATTTTACGCCTCAAAAATACCATCAAGCATATCAATTTTTGTACATCAATTTGCTTTTTTCGCCACACAGGAAAGCCACAAACTATACCACCCCAAGTATGTGGCATGATTTAATTTTTTCGCCCCAAGTATGTGGCGTGATTTATTTTTTTAGCCACATTTTCATATCAAAGTATATTAA